TGTGTGAATTTTAATAAAGAAGCGTTTTTTTCAGAGATTTTCTGTTCACAATATGGTAATAATATATCGTCCCCTCTGAATTTCTTCAGTTTCCACCATGTATTGCTTTATGCTTTAGTGCACATTCCTCATCTGCAACTGCAATACCACTTTCATTTGAGGCTGCCTGCTGCAGATAAAATCCACGCAGATAAATTCCACGCAGATTTTTGTGTTGTAGGGTCTTTTGTAATGCTGTGTGTCACCTGCATTTCACTTAGATTTGGATTTCTGATATGTTTGTAGCGGCCATCTCAAAGTATCTAGTGTAGAATTAGCAGAACATGCTCTTCTGGAGCTTAACAGATTCCTTTGCTTTTGATACCCAGCAAATGTAGGCTGGCACTTGACTTAGGAATATCTTTGTATGAGACTTCATATGAAAGTTGACTTCACTTGCAACTTCAGCTTTTAGCAGGGAAGTAATTGTCAGTCTCCCAAGATCTAAGTGAAATCACGTAATATTTTTTATATATTTGAGACCTTGGTGTTACTCTGCATGTCTTAACTTCTTATTTTTTGAGGGGATCTCTCATGAAGAGAGGCATGCATAACTGAGGAAAGGAGAAAAAATTCCAAAACTTGTCTTTTTCATACGGGCAGAAAGCTTGCCTAGTTCAGAGTGCTGCCATCATTTATGAAGGAGCTTGAGCTAAAGAAGCGCAGCCTGACCTCTGGACAAAATCTGGAGATAGTGGAAAAAAGATCATTTCTTCCCTGAAAATCAGAAATACAGGGGAGTAAAAATGAAATTTTACATACTTCTGGACCCATCTGTGGATATTGTGTGTTGAAAGAAACAAATTACAGTTTTGAATTTCTTGCAACAAGTAGTGTTTGGAGCTATGAAAAACAACATTTCAGTGAAATGTTTGTGGCTTTGCTGAAGGGCAAGTTGAATACATGGTATGATTAGTTTAACTTTCTAGGCAAAAGTTTAAAATAGTTTAAAGTTTCAAGAAACTTGCAGGATTAATATATTTTGTGTGATGCAACTATTGGAGACTTTCTGATTTCTGATCTGGTATTTTGAAGGAAGTGCTACTGTGTGGGTGCAAAGCGTCACTCTTAGGTTAAGAATAGAAAAGATCCATTTTTACTTCATTTCTATGGTAACTGAAATGTGTTTCATTGCATCTGGTAGACATTCAAAGCAAGGCTTCTTAGGAGGATCTTCAGACTACTTCCATTCCTCTCAAGACATTTGACACACAACCCTGCATCTCTTCTGCTTCAATTTCAAGATGAGCTTTTCTTTTCATGGTGTAAAGATTGCCTGGTGTGTACTTAGCAATCCAAATTCTTCAGTTTTTTGTCAAGGGAACAAACCGCCTGAAGCCATTAAATGATGGCACTTCGTATTCCACTTCCAGGATCCTTCTGTAGGTCTTTTCCTCTCATCTCATCATTGTTGTGCTCCTTGTCACCCCTTGCCCTCCTAGTAAAAGGGCACAAGGCAAAGGGGAAGAAATACTTTAATACAGATGTTAAACTTTTTTTTGTCCATTGATACCAAATGTTGTAGTAACTTGACCTAAACTGCCAAGAAAGATAACGGTCAAGTTACCTAATCATAATATGAACATACTTCTATTTCCCCCCTGCTAGAAAAAAAATCCACAAGGAACACAAATAGAGGACACAGGATTCATTGCAGTTATGCTGACGTGGTTGGGGCATTTATTTGTTTTGTCAGAAGCATCTTGAAAACAAAGATTTACCTGGTACAAATACACAAGGATGTGTGTTTATGTTGAAGTTCTTTGCAATAGTGTCATAAACATTCATTTGTTTTATAGATGACCTTTAGTCACATTTCATTGCTACTTATTACTAGATTAGTGGTGTGTAAAGGTATTCTAAGGATAATTTTTTATGGTATGATATCAAGCAGTTTGAGGAATAAGTGAAGCCTAATGGGATTAAATTTTGCTGAGCCCTGTCAGCGTTTTCTATTTCTTTTTAACAAAAAGTACTTTTTATGTCTTCCCCTCCTGAAAGTCATGGTGATTATCTCAGCTTATCAACCACAGCTTCTGTGGCCACGGGGAAGATGGGACCACTTCCCAAGCACAGTACTTTTAACTCCAGAACACAAAATCAGTCTTTCACCACAACAAATCAGTGATGCAAGAAGGCTTCTGAGCTGCACAAGGAGAGAGCATGGAAGGCCACAGATGGTAGTGGGAAATAACTACATTTAATTTCTTCTGAAGTAGGAGATGAATGTGCTGCTTCTCAGCTTCTTTCAAATTCGATTTACTGAAAAAATCAATCTTTTATGTTAATTCTTACTGTCTATAAAACATTGTTATGCATGTATTCTTACAGATACAAGGCCCCAGAAGATACAGCTTCAAAAGGAAATCCTGGCAAAGCTAATATTTATGGTGTCCTCTATAAGAGCTTTGTAACCTTTCCAGGCATGTTCCCCTACTGCTTTCTCTTGTGTCACACTCGTCGTAAAGAGGTGGTTTTTATAGTGCTCCCCATGTACCTGTACACATTCTCATTGGTCATTTTGGTTCTGGCTCTGGAGACCACTTCTACAGGAACAGTGCATTCTGATAGGATCAGCTGTGTAGGGCAGCAGCACAGTTGCTGCTGGGGAGTCGTGTTGTATGTTGTCTTGTGATCTACTCCAGCCTGGCTCACCTGGTTCATTGGCCTCAGTGTCTGTTCGCTGGCAATGGGAGAATGTCAGTTTATCCTGCAGTTCAGCTTCATCTAAAAGAAAGTCTAATTTGTGCACTCCCAGGTTAATCTGAAATTAAAATTGAATCATGGTAAGTGAGAACTGGTGAAGTTGCTTCAAAAGCATTCTCAGGATCCAAGCTAAAACAGTAATGTAAATGCAAGCTGTACTCCATCAGGGGAAAAAAAAAGTAAATAATTTTTTTATTTGCTTTCACAGTGTACTATTTCATGGCGCTGCATTTAAATACTGTTCCATAGCTTCATGGAGCTCACATCAGTGGGCACATGTCAGGGAGTAACAGGCTGATAGCTCTGATAAGGAACTCACATAAGATAAGAGACATGGTTTGGTGGCAGTGCAGTTTAACTAGTGGTTACTGGTTGACTAGCTGATTATTAGTGGAGAATAATTTGCAGTCATTCACAAGATCCAGCACTTTGTTACTGGCATGTCAGTGATCTTAGCAACAAGTTAAGAAGTAAAATAAGTTTGCACCAAAAAAAAAAATTAAATTGTCTTAAAAACTGATAAATAAGATAAGAAAAACCTAAAATCTTTGGATTTGTCCACATTTTCTCTGCATCAAAACTGTATTAAAATGAAGAAATTATGGATGTATTGTTTAGTTGCATAAATTTAGCCGCTATTTTTTTAAAAGAGGGAGGGGGCAACTGCTGCAGACATGAAACAATTTTAAGTGTTTTAATTAGAGCAGTGTATTTTCATACAGCTGTCTAGATCATCTTTCTGTGTCAAATTTACAGCATATTACAGTATGGGATGGTGTAAATACAACTTTTTTTACAGATGGAATATTTTATTTAATGGACCGATTTATTGATTTTGTAAAATTCTTTGGAATTAGAGAATTCGCTGTAGTTGTAGCATAGATCAGATAATTGTATTTAGCTGCTTCTACGGAATTTTATGTGTTCCTTCTTATCCCAGCTACTCATAGCGTGCAAGAAGGTACCGAAACCTACTGAAATCTGTTTTTTGTAATAGGGAAAAGGTGCAGGACAGGATTAAATGGGCTTTGTACTTGCTGGCTAAACCCTATGATGTATTCTCATAACTGTGGGCTCTGATTCATAAAGATTTCCTCTGTAGCTATTGAAATAGTAGTTAGCCCATTCGAGGCATGTACCTTCATGCCTTGAGTCTGTGTGGTCTTACAATCTCATAGCCAATAGAGATCTTTAAAAACAAAACTGAGTGAAGTTTAAGGTAATTGGGAAGGTTTCACCTAAGCTCAAGTAATTTTTTAGCTGTTAAACTACTTTGTACAATATACCTTAAACTGATATGTTGGAACTGTGTTTTGTGGCTTTTTTTTTTTCTTTCCCAAATGCAGGTATTTTTCAGAGTATGGGCATATGGTGACTACACACTGCATGAATTGCTGTGTAAACTCCTGGCTCTGGCCTAAGAAATGAGGATAGGGTTTTCTCCTTTAGATGCAACTCTTAGCTGGAGGCAGTCAACCAAAGCAGCTTTAATTAGGGAAATACTTTACCGCCTCTATTTTTTTTATTTGCATGTCATTAGATTACAAAAAAATGAAGCTGGGACTCTGAAAATGGGAAAGCAGAGGTTAAGGAATTCTTGCCTTCTGTTGCATGGTATAGGAATCAGAAGAGTCCCTGAGCTGGCATTTTGCCTTATTAATGCATTACAGCCCTTCGGCTCACAGTCGAGAATCATGCAGATTGGAAATTATCTTGAGTGTATGAGTTCAGAGTTCAGTAAAGATATGTTTGTGACTAACTGATCAAACTCAAGGCACTGTTCTGGGCATGAAGTATATTACAAATAGTGACATCACGGCATGCAAATAAGAAATTCCATACGTTAGTGGCTTCATAGATATTCTAACACTTTTTGATGCTTAATTCTTGTTTCTGATGACTCAAATTTAATCTGCCTCACCATGATTTAAATACAAATATAGGCAGAAGTTACTGTATGAAACATTGTAAATACCAGTTTATAAATGTGGAGTTTAGCAAGGTTATTTACAAATGTTTTGTTGGCCTAAAAATTAGTAGTGGTATCCATACTTCTCTGGTACACATCCTCAAAGTGAAAAGGACAGTAATTAGTGTTTTGGTTAACCTCAGAATTTGGTCTCTGTTTTATGACTCTGTTGAAATATCTTACAGTGTATCCAATATCCTTCCTGTAGATGGTTAACATCACTGTTCATGACACATTATTTTGCCTTTTCAGTGAATCTCAGACGCTTTCTTTACCTTCCTTTCAGAAAAGACGGCGGCGGATTGATCGAAGCATGATTGGGGAGCCGACAAACTTCGTTCACACAGCTCATGTAGGATCTGGAGACCTATTCAGTGGAATGAATTCAGTAAGCATGAGTGAATGAACATAATTTCATATTATACAGAATACAGGAACACTGTATTTGTGTGTTGTAGCTGAAGCAATGAGTCTTTCAGCTATAAGAAAGCATCTGAGGGCATTTTAATTCCAAATCCTAAACACTTGCATTCAAGAATATGGCATATATTTTTTTTAATTCCTATATTTATTGATAATGTATTTTGGATGCTGTATAAATGATATAGAATACTTTCTAAACTAAAAATTCACTCTGGTTATATGTATGACCTAAATAGATGTATACTTGAAGATATACTCAGGTATTATATAGAAAAATCTAAGTGTCTCACAGTTGACTAGACTTTATTTTAAATACCTAAAGCTGTTTTAAATATAGTTCATGTAAAATTCTAATTACCTCCGTTTATGGTGCACACAAATTTATGTTTGGGTGTTCTTGCTGAGATTTTTCTATATTCTGTAGCCCTGTTTGCAGTGTGAATTATTAGAGCAAGCAGTGTCACAGGTAAGATTTTGTGGCTTCCTGTAGAAGATAGGCACAATAAATCATTTTAGCTCTCTGAAAGTAAAAAAACAGAAGCTAAGATAGATAATGAAAATGAGCATATGGAAATAGGTGTCCATTGCACAGCTTCAAATTTCTCTGAAATGTCAATCTGTTTCTAAAGTCAGTAATATAAAATCTAGAAAACAGTTGTATGTAGATGAAAAATACTTATTGACTTTATTAATCATCTTTAAAGGAAAACATATTTGGAGATGAAAAACACTTGTTGACAAAGAGGAAGAATCTCTGTCAGAGGTATCAGAATAGAAGGCAGAGCTAAAAAAGACAGTTTTAATGTAGGTAAGGGAGGTCATTTGTAGTTTCAACTAGTGGCCTTATTGAGATAAGACAAAAATTTTTGTAACTCGGCATGTAATGAGGAAGGGCAAAGCTAGAAAATTCGACATAAAAAATGCACTACATCTTCCCAGAAACAACATAGTGGACTGGAGATGATTTCTTGTAAAACCTCTAAGTTAAACGACCAAACAGATTCCACTTGATAAAATTTAGTTGAAGCCAATTCCTTATTCCTTATATTAATATTTAAAGCCATTGTAAATTGAAATAATAAACTGATAATTTTGTGAACAGCTTGCTTGATTACTTTTTTTAGGCATGACTTTTGCTTTCTCAATATTTGTTGTTTCTCCTGGGGGAAGCTTCCTCATTCTTACAGCTGAGCTGGCTCATTTGAGGTTTGTGTAGATGGCCTGAAGCTTTATTTTTTTCACTTTCTGCCTATTTGCCCTCATCTTTGTTTTGCATAATACCCAATTTATGGCGAGATAGTAGGTAATCATTATTGTGTCTCTACGTAAATTTCTTCATTTTGAATGCTTTTTATTACGTCTTTCTCTCTTTGCTTTTTCTTCTTTTTCATTTGGTTAATGTGCTCCATCAGTGACCAGAGAGATTTTCTGATCAGGTAGAAAGTATTGTATGTAAAAAATAATCATTCCCACTGCCCTTGCTTCAGAAACTCAAATCTCTACTTTCTCACACTGCGTATTTTCTGCCTCTTCTGTGGTGGTCTCCACATTCGTTCTTCACTGTATAAATTCCAAGATTACAGTGTTAACCTTCACATGTTCTTCTGCTGCATAATTTCCTTTATAGTATGGACATTATATTCCTTCAGGAACATCTTTGTGCCTTCTTTTTCTAAATAGCTTAGGTGAACGCCTGCAATTTAATTACTGCTTTCCCATTTAAATTTGGTTCTTTATTTACTTTCTGTCTGCCCTGTGCCTTTTTTCATCAGCCTTACTCTTTGTTATACATCCTTGCAATTCTGACTATTCAGTATATTTCTGAAATATTTTCCTTTTTTGTTTGCCTTCTCTCTAGAGTGCCTTGCTCCTTTGTCAGAGATGTACTTAAACAGCAGGAGCCTTCTGTGCACTGTTTCTTGTTCATTCCCATCCCTTTTTTCCCTATTTTGCTTTCACAGGCCTTGGTGAAATGTCTTTCTTCTCCTGCTTCATATTCTTCAGTTCAGTCTTTAATTTCATGTATTTCATGTAGTTTCCCATTGTTTTCTTTCTCAAGGTCCATCTGTGCTGTTTCCTAATTCTGAAAGGGAGGGAAAGAAAAGGAAAGAGGAAATTTAATTAGATACAAAAGCAGCACAACTGTTTGCATGATCCTTAATGGGTACAATCCTCTTTCCTTAACAAAATCTTTAAAATCCTTAAGTTCCATCTAAATTAAACATAAGAGAGAAGAACCTTGCTGTTGCATGTCATCTAAGAAAGGCAATGGCATCTTTGGGAAAGAAAAAAACAAAAATTCCATTTCACAATGCTTGTTCATATTGCTCAAACGGCCTCAAAAGGAGAGAGCTTCAGAAAGAATGCCACCTTATAAACCTACAAATGTTAGACCTTTTTTTTCTCAACAATTTCAATACTATATGTCTCCTACAAAATTTTTCATGTTCCAAAGAGCTACTGAACTGCTAATGCGGACTAGTTTCATTTGTTGCATTTTCTGTTTTAAGGGCAGCAGTTTCTGCATTTAAGACTGATACTTCTGATACTGACTGAAACTAACTCGCATGTGACTCAGGAACTGGAAGAATTAATCTAACATTTAGAAATACTCATAAAACTTGTGTTGATTTGCTGCTCTCCAAAATTTTCAAGTCTTGTAAGCAAGTTGTTAGTAGTTGTAGTTTAATTATTTTCTGACAAGAAAATCTAAATTCAAACTTTGTTTTTTTCCACGGGCAGCAAAAGATGCTTGGTGAAGAAGATGAGCAGCTTGGTAAAATGTGAAAGTTCTTAAATATGTCCCCATGCACTTCGGCACACTCTTTTACTGAGTTTGTAGTCTTTGATGTCAGATGCACTAGAAAATTAGCTCTGAACACTTTTCCCGGAAGAAAAATAAGATGGTAATATTGCTTTGCTGTGGCTGTATCGGTTATTTTAGCAAAAGGCCAAAATATAAAATGGTTTTACATTGCACTGCTTAAATACATAAAATCACAATCTTTTGCATAGCTTTGCAATATGCCACATTGTTGAAGATCAAGATGAAAAAAACAGGCTCTTTTGTTACATAGGTATGAAAAACTGTGTGGAAGAATGAGTTTGCTGATGCATTCCATACATGTGCATGTGTTTTGCTTGCTGTGGAAAAAAAAATTTCTTTTGTCTTTGTAGACAGGGAATATCGTGCAAGCTACTTGGAAATATTTCTTCTGTGCTGTTTTAATACAGCTTTCCAGTGATGTTTTTAGGTCTCTGTGAAGGAGGAGCATAGATGAAATAATTGCAAGCGGTGCCCTGCAGGCATAGCCTTGAATGAATGTTATTTTCCACTCTTTGTGTAGTTGTTATGCATGCCCTGGGATGCAGAGAAAAAAGGGCCAAACCTTTAAGATTCAAGTTGTCTTCCTGCAGGCACTTGGACATGATTATTTTGATTCGTGCAAGACAAGCAGGAAAGAGCTCTGGGTTCCTTTTATGTTTGGTGATAGAGGCAGTGAAAGTCGTAGCAGGATGTGCATGTCTTGAAACGGGGTATGAAGGGTGTGTCTCTATGTATTTATATGCATCAGGCTAAAACTACCTCCAAATCAGCTATGTTCAGGGAAGTTCAGATTCACTGCGGTTTAAAAAATAAATGCCAAACCAAAAGGTTTTTTTTTATTTAGAAAATCCTAGTTTAGCCCTGTTTTAATAATCTGAATTAGCCATACAGATATTTGCAAATTGGCTATTACACTTTTAACATAATGATTTTAACTTACTGAACTTATGGTTCATCATACTTGCCAGAGAACGTTTTCTGTATAACAAGAAAAATTTTAATTTGTCAGGTGGAGTTGATGCCAGTGAGAGATTTGATTTATTTTTTGATTAATAAAATGGGTCAGTGAAACCATGCATCAGCCAGTTTTCTTTGGGAGAGAGGAAGAAGTTTTGCCTCAGCACCACTATTTTCATCTCTTCTGCTGAGCTATGCACCAAAGTTAAAATTTCAGCAAGCCTTGGATGCACGTGTCCTCGTGTAAAAGTGATGTAGCTTTACTGGTAATAAAGGAGCACTTGAAAACTAAACCTAGACAAAAAATAAAATTAGAAGCAAGAAGATGCTACAGCTCACTGTCTTTCTTCTTTCCACTACTCCCCTTTTCCCATCTGTCCCCAGGTCAGCTCAATTCAGAATCAGATGCAATCCAAGGGAGGCTATGGAGGTGGTATATCTGCAAATGTTCAAATGCAGCTTGTGGATACAAAGGCAGGATAACCTTGGGGATACCTTTCCTGTAAGTATTTTGTTCTTAGGGTCTGTTAGAGCAGTATGAAAAACAATCATACTGCTTCATAATTATCTCCCTATAAAAACCTGTGTCTTTATGATGGCCAATTTAAAAATACATGTCTGAGTAAAAAATTAGATATCTTGTAGGAATGTTAATTTTTCACAGAAAGGGCAGCAGATTATCCTGACCGTATCAGCCTGACCTTTAAGCATGTTTTAAACAAAGGTGATATTGTAGGCCAATCTTTGCAGATGAAGTTGGTTGTAAACAAATCTCATAAGTTTGTGATGTGATTATGGTACCATTTTCGCAGTGGTTCCTAAGATGTGTGGTGTTAAGTCAATGTATAGCAGTATAACAGTTGGAAAATGGTCACTCAGAATACTCAAAACTTGTTTTAATGCATGTTTTCTGTCTTTTAGGTTTATGTGAGTTCCTGTATCTTTCCTGTGTCCTTCCTTTTGCCTTGGTGACTGCTTTCTGTGCTCATGACAAGAGAAGTGATGGCTCATTGTTCACCCTTCGTGATTAGTCCAGTGAAAAGTTGCTGTTCTGCTCTGATGATGCCATTTATCAGATTGGTCCGACTGTGCCTTTCAGTGGCATGCACACATTGGCCTCTACTAGTGTCATGGATGTAGAGCTGTTTAGGTTTGGTTGTCACTTTTTCACTTGTTTTAAGGCAAATTAAAGCACTGACTGTAGCTTTCCTCATTCCTCAGAAATACTAATGCACAACATTCTGTTGCTTTTTAGTCTTTCAATCATTTCTCCACTCAAGTATTTTAGAAATTAATGAGTTTCCACTAATGTCTTCAATCACCTAATGTTCACCCAATTTTTGAAAGGTCTGAGACCTGCAAGCACAAATAATTATTTCACACAAAATCAGCAGAGTAGATGACCGCATGCTTTGTGAGGTTGCTTTTTATGGTGGCCTGCTTGGTGCTAAAAGAAAAAAAAATTGCTTACTGCAGATGTGAAAAGTTTTGCTGTGGCACCAAGTCATGCCTGTTTCTGAAAAAGGACTTGTAACTTAGCTGCTTCAGAGTTATGTCTTTATTTTAGTTTTTTTCCAATTGGTCTTGAAATAATAAAGAGAGAGCTTGCATTCATGAGGCATTTGTTGTAAATGTTCAGTATATTTATTTTGAAAGAGCTGACCTTGAGACTGTAAACCAGTGTAGTACCGTATCTAATAAGTGTTGTGGAATCGCTTTAGTCTATTTAAACAGAAGAGCAACATGTTTGGCTGCTTCTTTTTCTTTCTACAATTTTCTTTAATTTCAACCTGTACAGTAATTTCCAGTAGCAGCATGTCAGACTGCTTGCAATATTGGCTGAAAAGTTTAATAGACCTTTCTGAGTAGTTGGCAGTTTCTGTGTACTAAATATTTAGGGGCCATGGAAGTTGCTAAGAGCGACATACTAATCTGGCAGAACAGGTGCCAATGAAAACAACATACAGGGTGACTTTTTACTAAGTCAGTAAAATGCCTTTTGCTCAGGTTCCAAAGCATGTTTCTTTCACATGTGGTGAAACTGCATTTTAATATTGCACTGTTTTCAGATTATCTCTATAAATGGTCCCTTTTTTTGCTTCTTGCAGGTGGTTTTAGAGAAGTCAATTATTTGAGGCCTGGTTACATTAAATTTTTATGTGGGGGAAAAAACTCAAACCATCCAAACAAATAAGGCATAACTGAGCCTAATCAAATCCATGCAAATATGCATGTAGACTGTTGTCATAAATGATTCTTTATTCTATTTCTATCCTTTCCCTGATTACACATTGCAACAGATGTCTGGTGATTTATGAATCCACCTAATCTTCTCTGTCTGTTTGTAAACAACACATAAAATACACAGCCATGGAGGTAGTTTGCCTTCCCTAGGTTGTATTTGAGTGGTAGATGTCACTTATCTGGTTAAATAGTTCAAATTAGGTTGGATAGTATTCACTGATAAAGATACTGATTTCTGATGAGATGCTCAATTGTCTGGATGCATAAACACATGGCAGTGCAGTGATACATATTTTTTTTAGGGATTAGCATTTCCAATGCCACTTTAACAATGACTCTTAAATATACTACAAAACCATTACAAAATTATTTGATCTTTGTTATTGGTAATAGCAGCTTAAATTTGCTTGCCAAACCTATCTTGCACTTGCCAAAATGTTTTCAGCTCAATAGCCAGGAAAAAAATTGACATATTTTTATAACAGACATACTTTTTTTGTACATTGTGTTCATTCTTGAATAAAGTCAGTTCAGTGTTGGCTTGTAGATATTAAAAGGAAAGTATTGACTTTGATTCAATAAATGTTTTCTTTCAGTTGGTGGCCTATCCTTTCTCCTTTCCATAAATTATATTTGCATTAGAAAAACACTTGCATCTTACAGACAGACTTGTGGTGAAAAGAATAACCTATTAGTGTGAATAAGTAATTTGCAGGATTGAGTTTTTTTCATGTCACTTGACCCTTTTGTTGCCAGATGGATTAAACCATAATTTCATTAGTATTATTGTTGCATTGATTTAACATGTATGCCAGGGGCTTCTGCAAGAAAGGGAGTGTCTTAAAAATACTTTGGAAATCTTTACTTTTGACTGCAACTCTTATATGTGTTGCTTTCCTGATTGTGCTGCAGATTATCCTGGTGATCAGTAAAAGACTTGTCACCATAATATAGTCATCTGCATTAAAAGTACCTTCAAGGCACAATATTGCCTACTCTCTATTTGGGTCAATTAATTTTTATATTTTACACTCTGAACGTTTATTCCTTAAGCACTAACTTCCTACTTTAAATTTCATGCCAAATTCTTCTAAAGACTGATAATTAATTCTTTAGCTCATTCCAAGTCCATTAAATTGCCAGTTGAGGAAAAAGGGCAGCTAGAGGGCAAATAAGGTTCTAAAGGAAAATAAAAATAGAGCTAAATCCATGAGATACCAGTCAACTAAAGGGTTCTTTTTTTTTTTAAATGCTGAGGTTATAGGCACTTAAAACTGTCTATAAAGGTGTATCTTGAAGACCAGACATTCTACTGTAAGTGCATATTCAGTGACTGACATTGAAGCTTATTAAAAATTATGTGCTGGTTCTGCTGGTAATTAGAGGATTACTTCAAAGGCATACCAATGAAACTGATTTGGACTGCTCCCATCTGCTTACCCTTACAGTCCATGCTAGCCCTGGCACTGATTCAGCAGCTAACTCTTGGATACTGTCCTGTAGTCAAGGTTAGGGTTTTATGACCAAATTGATTGGTTTCAACCTGGAGCTGTTTTATTCAGAGTAAGTGTGGGAGTGAGAGTAAGCATTGGATCAGAGATAATCTGTTACAGGGAACAAGGGATAAGGGATATTAAGGGATAGCTTAACCTATAGAAAAATATCAAGCTTTTTCTGAATTTAAAAAAAGCACCCCAAACAACAAACACAAAAAACAACAGCAAACAAACAAGAAACAAAACAAAAATAAAACCAAAACAAACAATCCAAACAAAACCACAAACAAAAAAACCCAAACAAAATCAAAACGAAAACCCACCCAAAACAGAACATTCAGACTTTGCATCTCTGAACGTATCTACTGGAAAGACTAATTCCACATTTTGGGAGCTCTTTTTCACCAGCTTTGTCCAGACTATTCTGTTGGTTTTGGAAGCACAGAGCATGTTGAACATGTTGCCAAAAGAAAAACCACATCATTAGTAAGAGGCAGCCATCGTCATGTAGCATTTCTGCTATCAGTGGTGATTCCACCTATCAGCACTGTACAAGAAATAACTTTCTACCTTCACACAAGCCAGGAGAAATTATAAGTTTAGATTTCAAGCAATTTTTTCTGTTAAGCCTGGGAAAGTGCTGGTTGAGTTGGCAATAAATCGCTGGATTCTAAACTTGCTTCCTTAAATATGATACAGAATGGTCCGTTTAGTAAGTTGTAACGCAAAAGGTGCATTCATTTGTAGCTATTTAAGCATTGTAAGCCTATAGCATTCATTGTCTATAGACAAGTTTTTGGTTTGCTGGGGATGTTTTTCAAGAAATTTGATGAAAATTACAAAATAGTAACAGAGACTATCAGCAGAAAATAAAAGTAGTTGGTTTATCAGTTCTTTCAAGAAAAGTGAACACCACTTTTGGATGTAGCTTGGTATATAAAACACTTCTGGTATGTCATGACAGGCACAAAGCAGGGCTGGAGGTCTGGTAGGTAACACTGAAATTAGCTTACTCTGAGTTTCCAACAGGTCAAGTTGGTATTTTTAAGGATCACAGTAAGCTTTGTTAGTCCTGCAAGTGACTGACGGTAGGAGCTGTTTCAGCATAGAATGCTGAGACGCCCACTATGGATACATGTCACATTTCCTCAAAATGCTAAGCTGTAAGATACATTGTTGTCAACATTCTAGGAGTGCTAGTGTTCTACCAGTGCTCTGCATGTCCCTGTTTCCCAGGAATATGCTTTGTCTCAGCCATACCATGCCTTCAGTTCCAGGAAGGGGTTGTTGGCTTTCAGTGTTTTAAATCTCTCACTATTACATCAGTCTTTATAGGTCCTAATTGATTTGAAATAATCTGCCAGGCAAAAAAACCACATACCGAATTTGTGCATTTCCTGGTGGGAAGCTCCAGGTGAATGACACCTGTTGATGGAGCAGTGGTGTGAGGAACCCTCATGCACCAGAGGGGAGCCTGGCTTTATCCTTTGCACCTGCTGTCATTCACTGTGATCCCTCATCCAATGTGTGTGGTTGGCTGCTGTTGTGCAAAGCCAGTTCTTAAAACATTGCCTCAAGAAGGGAAGTGGGTACTGCTTGAAATTGATTTTGAAGTCCTCAGCTTTCTTGAAATGTGGTAACTCTAGGGAAATGGCTATTCTGAAACAGTTCTCCTTAGGACATCATCTTTACACTATCAGTAAAACTTTGAAAGAACCATGCACCTTGGAAAAGAGTACTGTTTCAAAGTGGTTGATGTTAATGGACATCTTGGCACTCCACAGATTTTTTTTACTTATCAAAATTCCACCTTCTGGAACAGTAAAAATAATCTCATGTATTATATATGCATTAAGCAGAAATGCATTGATATGGGGGCATGGCACAGCATTTCATTTCACTTCATTTCATTTATAATACAGAAAAACATTTTCAAAGGTGGAAATAAGGAAAAATCACATTGCAGTAAGCAATACTGGGTTTGGAGGGATGGAGTACAGTGGGGAGAGCAGATATAAATGATGGGCAAGTGAAAAGAAAGAAGAATAGGTGTGGGAGAAGGGTAAACTTAGATATATGACCAAGCACTGTATGTATTCCCCATTACATTCTTTTCAAGGAGTTATTAGCAACAGCTGCAAAAACCAGAGCCCAGCGCAGCAAGGCTTGTTCATTTTTCACTGTTTTAGGTAGTAGGTTCCAAGACAATTACTCTTTCTATAAGTTTCTGTAAGATGTTTGGTTTCCAGATGGCATAATCAGGATCTGTCATAACAGGCAATAGGAGCAGCCCAGGGCAACGGGGCTGTGTGGTGAACAGAGCTAGGAAATGAGACTCCTTTTGACAATTTTCAAAGTCTGTTTTAAATGTAAACGTTTTCTTACTGTGAACGTACATAGGATGGTGAGTGGATGGCCATGCATCTTCACATCTCTTTAAAAACTTACTCAGAAGTCTGTTTCCAAACTCATTTACTGGAGCTGGACAAAATCTACTGCTATAGATTCAACTCCCACTATTTCATTTTATTTACTAGAACCACTCATTTCTATCTTCTTACATCTAACTGCAATTGCACAGATGCTGTTTTCCTCAGAGACTGCCAAAATGCACCCAGCCCAGTCCATGGAAGGGAATTTAATTGCCATGCCATGATTTGATTTAAGAACTTCCTTGCTCATTCTCTGAATCACAACCAGAGTACTGGAAATACATGGCACAAGGAAATACTGTGGCTAAAACAACTGCTTTGTAGACCCTTGAACTGTGAAGTTACATGAAGATGACTGCTTACTAAAACAATTTTAAGTAGGATTTTCAGCCTCTTACAAAATACTTGCATAGTCTCGTAGAGCAAAATTAAAACTTTCTGACCTATGTAGATGCAATGGCCCATACTGTCTGCAATGTATGTGCTGTAAGGAGACATAATAATTTCTTCTCTGAGAGTGCCTAGCAATTTCTGAAAGCCCAAGGCACTTCTCAGCTGCTGTGTGAGTCCTCCTTTTTGCAGCAGCACTTCAAACATCCATCCCACAACAATGTGAAGGCCAGCGCAGCACTGATAGGACGGACATGGTATCCCAAGCCAAAGTGCCAAAGCCATTTGGTGCAAGAGACTTGCAGCTATTTTTGTCAGTGCTTGCAGCAGGTAAAGCCTGATGCAAGTGCCATTCCCCCCAGCTCAGTGGGCTGCAGGGTCGGCCAACATGTGCCACCACAGCAGCTGCCCTGTTCAAGAGGCAGCTGAGGCAGCCCCAGATTCCCCCAGCCTCCCCACACATTCCTGGGCTGCACTGCTGTCTTCGTAAGTGCAAATTTGCATAGTACTGCACTAAGAAAATCCCTTTCAAATCACTTTTTCTAAGAAAGGGCACTTGGTTAACTCTGTGTAAAGAAAGTTGGGTCCTCCTGTCCCCATATAGCAGGGTTATGCCAGCACAGTCAGCTAATGGAAGGGCAACTGGAGCTGTATTATCAATACAATAATCAGAGCTGTCACTGCTTGGAAAACTGTGATCAAGTATGTGCAGCTGCTCATTTGAATAGCTTTCTCACTGAGGAAAGCTATCCACACCCATGATGAAAAGTCCTCCAGAGAACAGACATGCCTTCTAAATTTAAGCTCTTTAAGTAAGAAATTTCCACAGTCCTGTCCAACAAACCATGCCACAAGGCTCATAACCTTCCCCTGCCCTGCCCCATTATTTGCAATATTAATGTTCACATTAAAATATGTTTAAAAATTTTAAACAAATATTTAAGTAATTAGGAAGTGGGCATTGGCCTCTCTGGATGGGCAGTTGCTTTAGATTCCCTATTATCTCATGGTAAAGCTGGTTTCACAGCACACTAGACTATTTCCCAGCTGAGAAATCTGCAGTCCAATCTCTGATGATGAATGAACTTGCAAATTAGAATGGCCTTTTCTAATCAGGCCAAGAGAATCCGGAATCAGAGGGCTGCAGAGTTTAGAGGATTTCACAGAACTAAGAATACTTTTCTATGGTTCAGGATTTCAATGCTTTACTTTTTCCTCTGCACAACCTTTTGCCCAAATTTCAGGTACACAACATCATCTGCATTTTTATTCCTTCAC